GTGCAGTAGATGGATTTCGATTTTCTGAGTAACCATTACACCGATTTCCATAGTGTCTGTACAAGTTCATACTTCCATCAGCAATGGATGAGTTATCAGTATAACTTGTCAATTTTATTATTGAAATTAGCTATTCATATGATTATAGAACAAATTACAAAATCTTTTTGATTTGTATTTCCATAATGACTAAGGATGTTGAACACTCGTTTAAGTATTGCTCAGCAATTTAATTTTCTCCTTTGGGAATTTTCTGTTTAGACCTGTGTCTCATTTTAATTAGGTTATTTGTTTTTATGTTTTCTAGATTTTTGAGTTTATTACATAATTTGTATATTATCTCTTGAGGAGATGAGAAGGTCATAAAAAAAATCTTTTCCACTTAAGTAGGCTGGTTCTTTGTCCAAATGATGGTGCACTTTGCATTACAGAATAGGAACAGATTTTCAGACTCATGAGGTACAATTTATTAATTATTGTTCTAGTGACTGTGTTAATGCCGTTTCTTTTTTCAGGAAGTCTTCTGTGCCAATGATTTCATGACTATTCTTTACTTTCTTTTCTATGAAGATCAGTATCTGGTTGAGACCTTTGATCTCTTTGGTATAGTTTTGTGGTGTACTGTAACTATGGATATATTGGGGTTCTTTACCAGTAAAAGTACAATTTTACCAGTACCATTTTTTAAAGATGCTTTCTTTTCCCAATGTGTATTTCTGTCCTCCTTATCAAACATCTTGTTCAATAGGTACATAGGTTTATGTGTGGATCTTCAATTCTATTTCCCTGATCAATAAGTCTCAGCCAATTCTTTAAAGTTTTTAGAACTATAGCTCTGTAGAACAACTTGAAAACTGAAATGATGGTAACTCCTTAAGTTTTGTTGTTCTTGTTTTGTTTGTTCTTTATTTTTGTTTGTTTTATTTTAATTAAGGATTAATTAAGCTTTCTTGTGTGTGTGTCTGTGTGTGTTGTGTCTTTTTATGTTTTTATGTAAGACTAAAGAATTATCGTTTCAAGATCTGTGAAGAATTACTTTGGAATTTTGGTGAGGATTTCATTTAATCTATGGATTGCTCTGGGTATGATGACTGTTTTTACTATGTTAATCTGTTTTATCCAACAGAATAGGAAGCCTTCCCTCTTCTGATATGTTTTTCCAATTCTTTGTCGAATTCCTTAAAGTTTTTATCACAGAAATCTTCCACTTGCTTGGTTAGATTTATCCACATGCTTTTTGTATTATTTGTGACTACCCTAAAAAATGGTGTTTTCTTCATTTCTTTCTCAATCAAATTGGCATTTGAATATGGGAAGGCTACTGATTTTTGTGAGTTACATTTGTATTTAGCTACATTGTTGAAAGTGTTTATCAGCTGTAGGAGTTTGCTGGTGGCAGTTTTTTCAGGTCATTTATTTATATTTTCATATTGTCTGCAAATAGGTACTTTAGTTCTTCCTTCCCCATTTCTATCACCTTGATCTTACAGAGATAAAGCGTACACTTACAAGGGATATTTTTCAACAGTGGAGTGGCATTTTATTTGTATTTTAATACAGAAAGCTTGTCTGAAGATCTGAAAAGTAGAACAGTCACACTGACCTGCCTTACAGACCAGGTAGCAATGACACATACCTTTAATCCCAGTAGCCATAATGACATACACCTTTATTCCCACTAGCCACATGAGTTTACCTTAGAAACAAGGCAGTAGTGGTTCACGCCCTTAATCCCAGAACTAGAGGGTATTGTAAGACTGGAGGAGACAGTTCTCAATCTTGATCTCATTCTGATACTCCTGGAGGCAGAATCACAATTTTGGACTGAAGTAGAAGTAAGAGTCATTGTCTGACTGTTTTGCATTTCTGACCTTCAGGTTGAGTCCACAATTCTCTCTCTGAATTTTTATTGATTGTTCTTCTGTTGGTGCCCAACATTTGGGGTGTGAATTCATGAAAAAAAGTTGTTTGTCTGAGGAAATCTTTATTTTTAATATTTTTTTGAAACAGGGTTTCTCTGTAGTTTTGGAGCCTGTCCTGGAACGAACTCTTGTAAACCAGGCTGGCCACAAGTTCACAGAGATCTGTCTGGCTCTGCCTCCCAAGTGCTAGGATTAAAAGCTTTCCCTGAGGCTTTTTAGTTGCCCATACAGGCAATAGCTGGCCACAAACCTAACCACCTGGGATTGGGAGAAAAACTAGCACTCACAGCTCCTATCTGCCCTGGCTTAGCTTTCATATAATGATGAAAAAAATGATGGGAATCTGTTGATTCCCAAACTAGTCCATAATGACAACTAAAATTAATTTCAAACATATTTATGTACACAGATATTTCCCATACTTCTCCTATTCGTAAATCTCTCTTTTCTTCCTAAAATTATGTTATCAGTAACCTAATTTAATACAGCAACTGTTTATTTATTGCTTATCTGTAATTAAAAAGGCTACTGCATAGTCTTATTATCCTATGATGAAAAATACACAGAGAGTTGGGATGTTCTGTGTTATTGTGATTTCTTTGAATTGTTTGACTGCTGAGGAAGGAGCAACAGCTGTGAAAAGACATTTGATTATAAATGAAGCTGGATTAATCACACCTATATGTTTTGAAATTGCCTTGACTTCAAAATTTAACTCAAAAGATATGTTGCTTTGGCGAAGGGTCTTTGATTTAGTTTCCACAGGAAGTGAGAAAATGTGGATTCTTTTTGGGTTAAGAAAGATAAGGTTTGATCAAGGAAAAAAAAAAAAAAAACTCTAGAAAGTCTCTGATGAGGTGGATGATCCAGATGTCCCAATGTTTTAGAGCACCTCTGTTTCAGTTTCCTCTAAGTTCTACATCCAGAACAACATAAAAATTGCTGGCCGAGATGACCTATCCTTACAGAATTCCCTAGTCAAGACTTGATCATAATCCTAAATATTCTTTGGGTCATCATAAGATTATCAGTGTCCACCATCAGCAGGAAGAAGTCTAGAAACTATACCCACATTCTCAAAAAATCGATTATGGATGTTTGTCATTGTTTAGTGTGTTGGTTGCAAGTTATTATGGATAATGTTCAGGAAAAAAAGCTAATAAAGGAAAATAGATTTAAGGTTTTTGTTTTGAAAAGAAAAATGGGGATATAGATATGATAAAAGTGTACATTATTCAGTCTACTCTGAAATGAAAAAGGGAGGATATAGTATGATCTTGTTCAGAAAGAAAAATGGGGGATACAGATATGTTGGGATGAAGTGGTAGATTATTTAATCTACTCTGAAAATAAAAAAGGGATGATATAGTTTGATAGGATAAAAAGGTGAATTATTGAAATCTAGTTTTAAAATGCAATTACTAGTTTTAAATGTTCTACATTGGACTGGACTTTTGTATGTTTTATACAAATTTTGTACATTGATAAAAATTTGAGATTAATTTTGTTAAAACATACTGTACATATATTTCTAATCTTGTTTGACTTATTATAGCTAAACAGCTCTTTTAATAATACAATGCAAATCTCTAGTCCTTGAAAATTATTATTACCCTTTGGGATAATAAAGAAATAAGGTTAGTAGTTAATCATCTAGTATAATTAAATTTATAGTCACATTAGGTATCTTTTCAAGGAGAAGCAAAGATATATTTTAGATAGACAGTTCATCTTCAAATACTTCAGAAATCTATAGAATATGGCATTTAAGATGCTTTAATAATCTAGCTTCTTCTTTTGTATGACAATGAGACATGTTTGCCCCTGGCGGCACCAATCTACTTCAGAGAATATATGGGCATCAAAGAAACTCCATATGATTATTATTTTCTTCATAGCAAAAGTAAACCACTGGGCAAGAAAATGCCCCTACCTCAACTGCTGACAATATGCTATTTTAATTAAACAAGCAGGGCACAAAAGAAAGTGACTGAAAAACATTGTCATGACACCCTTTTTGAATATCTTGCTTCACAGAATTGTCTGTCAGATATTCAAAGAATGTAGGCCTAAGACGGAAGGCCCAACATTGTCAAGAAAATTTGGGTGAATGTCCTTGAAGACAGATCTTTCTGTCATTATTCACAGTTTTTGGAATCTGCTTGCTTGGACTTCCTGATTATTCAGTAAATATTATTTCTTTCTTGTGTCTCGGAGGTAGATGAAGATGAGATAGTTATAGTTATAGTCTCCTTTTTATAAGACTCAGAAAAAAATTTCTGAAGAAATGTAAATGTTGAGAAATATCAAAAGATAGTTTTTAATGGTGATGCCAATTGAGGTAGGAAATACATTAAGTAGAAAATTGGGACTCACTAAGATAGAATAGATGTGGAATATTTTCTCTGAATTTATCAAATTTGCAAATGGATTACACAGTGTTAATATATTTATTGCCTGTACATATTGGTATGTACATATCATTGTACTTACTGTAGATAACCATTTTATATTGTTATAGCCTTCTTTTAAACTTTTAGGCAAAAGCGGGAATGTAGTGGCATTCTGTTTGTATTATAATAAATAAAGTTTGCCTGAAAATCAGAAAAGTTAAATAGACGCACTGGTCAGCTTTATAGACCAGGCAGCAATGACACACAACTTTAATCCCAGTAGCCACCCTAGTCTCATAGAAAACAGGTGGTAGTGGTGCATGTCCTTAATCCCAGAACTAGAGAATTATAAAATGGGAGGAGACATCTTTCAGTCTGAGTCTCAGTCTCAGTCTCATCTTGAGATTTCTGGAGGAAAGGTTACTTTTTCAGACTGAGGTATAGGTAAGAACAAGTGGCTGGCTGTTTTGCATTTCTGACCTTCAGGTTGAACCCCAGTTTCTCTCTCTTAGTTTTTATTAATCATGCTTCATTCAACATGTTATTTTTTTTTATTGAGAAAAGGAAAAAAAGTTTCCGCCTCCTCCCAGCCTCCCATTTCCCTCCCCCTCCTCCCACCCTTCTCCCCCTCGCCCCACTCCTCTCCCCCTCCCTCTCCAGTCCAAAGAGCAGCCATGATCAGAGAGTCCGGTTTTATCCCATGCTTTTTCAGTCACAGTCCAGCTGGCCTTGGTGAGCTCCCAATAGATTAGCCCCACTGTCTCAGTGGGTGGGTGCACCCCCCCGTGGTCCTGACATCCTAGCTCGTGTTCTCCCTCCATCTGCTCCTCATTGGGACCTTGGGAGCTCAGTCCAGTGCTCCAGTGTGGGTCTCTGTCTCTATCTCCATCCATCACCAGATGAAGGTTCTATGGTGATATGTAAGATATTCGTCAGTATTGCTATAGGATAGGGTCATTTCAGGTTCCCTATCCTCAGCTTCCCAAGGGACTAACTGGGGACATCGCCTTGGGCTCCTGGGAGCCACTCTATGTTCAAGTCTCTTGCCAACCCTAAGGTGGCTCCCTTAACTAAGATATGTGCTTCCCTGCTCCCCTATCCAACCTTCCTTTATCCCAATCTTCCTGTTTCCCCAAGTTCCCCCAGTCCTCCCCTTCTCACTTTTCTCTCCCCGTCCCCCCTTATCCCCCAACCCCCCCACCCCCAAGATCTCAATTTTCTCCCCGGCAATTTTGTCTACTTCCCATAGCCAAGAGGATAACTATATGATTTTCCTTGGGTTCACCTTCTTATTTAGCTTCTTTAGGTTCACCAGGTATACACTCCGTGACCTTTATTTAAGGCTAGAAACCAATTATGAGTGAATACATCCCATGTTCATCTTTTTTGGGTCTGGGTTACCTTGCTCAGGATAGTGTTTTCTATTTCCTTCCTTTTGCATGCAAAATTCGAGAAGTCATGTTTTTTTTACCGCTGAGTAGTATTCTAATGTGTATATATTCAACATTTTCTTCATCCATTCTTCCATTGAGGGGCATCTAGGTTGTTTCCAGGTTCTGGCTATTACAAAAAAGACTGCTACGAACATAGTTGAACAAATGCTTTTGTCATATGATAGGGCATCTTTTGGGTATATTCCCAAGAGTGGTATTGCTGGGTCCAGGGGTAGGTTGATCCCGAATTTTGTGAAGGCTTAGCCTATGATGTGAAAGAACAGTATAATAGCTGTCAAATAAAGTAAGGTTCAAAATGTTTTGCTATTTTCCTCCTTGCCTTTATATTTATCTAGCATGTTCTTTTACTCTGTTTAAAAGTCCTTAACTCTGTCAATGTTCCTGCTATTGTTATCTGTCACTAATGTAACAGGCAGGTTCTTCAGGCTCGCCATGTAAAACAAAGATCAGTAGCTCTCTAGGAATCATCAAGGCCTTCATTGCTATTCTGGGAATGTTAAGGCACCCAAATATTTTAATTCAGAATGTATAGGGCTTTCAGCAAATCCAGGCTGGAAAAGTCATTCTTTGCCTGCCCAGACTTTATAATGAAGCCAATAAATAATAATCTTCCCATGTTAAAAGGTTTATTTTGTGTATACATGTACAAACAAGATTATATGGATATGGGAGGTGCCCAAGGAAGCTGGGAGAAGATGTTGGAGCTTCTTGAATTGGAGTTATAGGAAATTGTGTGTCACCCAGCCTGGGTGCTTGGAATAAATGTTGGATTCTCAGGAAAAGCAGCAAGTACTCTTCATGTCTGAGTCATCATTCTCACCACTAGTCTTTCTTTAATATACATTCAAGCTGTTCTGTTCCTTTAGAGAACCTGGACTAATAATTTTTCACATTCTCTAAAATGTGAAACCAAGTTATTTTATCACCTTTTTTTTTAGTCTCTAGGATATAATCTAAAGAAAGGTGATACCTGATTTTTGTTCTTTGATTATCGACTAAATCAGAATTTATATCTCAAAAATGCACTATTTTTTTCCAAATAATATAGTGTTTTATGTTAGGAATGTTTTCAGAATTGTGAAAGAATTATATGCATATAGTGGTGTGTATACTAGAGATTTTAATTATATTGTGAGAGGAAGAGTAAAACTAGGATTTTCTTGTAACAAATAGTGCAATTTATTGTTTTGACGATAATGTTGAAGATTATTTTGAAAAGGTGTGTAAATGGCAAGTAAAACACAAGTAGTAATGATAATAACAACTAACAGAAAATATATGAAGGGTCCATTTTCATGAGTTGCTATCATGAACATATCAATATTTTCTATATATTTTGTTGGGAACATAGAAAAAGAACCAGATAATTTTCAAAGATATTAAAAGAAAGAGATTCCTACCATTTTAAGGACTGCTTTACACCACATACTCTGGGAAATAATATAAATGGGTCAAATCAAAGCATAGCCCCAGCATTAACTATGGCTTTTTTATAAAGTTTATATTATATTACATTTACTGAATGATTTCTGTGTTTAGGGAGTAGGGGTTAGTATTCTCCTTTCACCATGTGTGTCCTGGAGAGCAAACAACAATCTTCAGAGTCAGGGACAAGTACCTTTATCACTTGAGTCATCTCATTGCCCATGTTATGAATTTTGAAAAAAAAACTATGACATAGCTATAATAGGGAATATCATTGCTGAAATACATTTACATACCTCATATTTTTCTTCTCGGAATACATGATATCAATTAATAGAACAAAACCTGAGTATGAGCTTATACCGAAATTAAACATATATTCCTTGCCAAACAATTGATTTACTTGATTTCAATATATATGTAATTCCGTAATTTTCTTCACTTTGGAATCAAAGCAAAAGAGATAAGTTTCTTTTTCATGAATTTATGACCCTGGAAGCCCCATGTAAATATTTGCTTTTTTTTTTTTTTTGCTTTTCAATGTAATAATAATTTAAGTTTCCATTTTTTGTTAACTACTTTCAGTTGTAGCCTCTATAATCCTGGATGAACTTTCTCTTACTTTTAAAATTCAAAACTCCTCAAACCCACAAATTGCAGCATTTTTAAATATGTTAATAATTTTATCATTTTCTGAACTTCCAGAAATGCAGAAATTCTGGATATTTCATATATAATTAACTTGGTATTTTTTATATTTCTGTCCTTGGAATGATAATTTGAGCTAAAATTTATTACTGAAATAAAAAAATGAGATCATTAGTATTGTTTTCAAATTGAATTCTATATTTATTTTCACTTTGTGTTTTTTATCTAGGTGCATTTTCAACTGGTTACAAGTTCAGTATATTTGGTGTCTAGCCATAAATAAAGGACATTGAGCCTATAATTCGGGTTCTTAGAGAAGCTAAATAAGAAGGAGAACCCAAAGAAAAACATAGGCATCCTCCTGAATATTAACCTTCATCAGGCGGTGAAAGGAGACAGAGACAGAGACCCACATTGGAGCACCGGACTGAAATCTCAAGGTCCAAATCAGGAGCAGAAGGAGAGAGAGCACGAGCAAGGAACTCAGGACCGCGAGGGGTGCACCCATACACTGAGACAATGGGGATGTTCTATCAGGAACTCACCAAGGCCAGCTGGCCTGGGTCTGAAAAAGCCTGGGTTAAAACCGGTCTCACTGAACATTGCGGACAATGAGGACTACTGAGAACTCAAGAACAATGGCAATGGGTTTTTGATCCTACAGCACCTATTGGTTTTGTGGGAGCCTAGGCAGTTTGGATGCTCACCTTACTAGACCTGGATGGAGGTGGGTGGTCCTTGGACTTCCCACAAGGCAGGGAACCCTGATTGGTCTTTGGGCTGACGAGGGAGGGGGACTTGATTGGGGGAGGGGGAGGGAAAGGGGAGGCGGCGGTGGGAAACAGAAATCTTTAATTAATTAATAAAGAAATAAATAAATTAAAAAAGAATAAGATACAATAAATAATTTTTTAAAAATGTTTTCTGTAATCATTTACTGTTATACATTGCAGCGTTTGCTGTCAAAAGCAAAGTTGCAGGGGATAATTGAAAATAATCATTGCTCCTTGAATAACATTTGCATTTATTAGATCTATACTATAATGGATTGAATTCTTAGGTCTGTCGTGTTCTCTCTCTTCTCTCTCTCTCTCTCTCTCTCTCTCTCTCTCTCTCTCTCTCTCTCTCTCTCTCTTTCTCTCTCTTTCCTGTCTCTCCCTCTTTCTCTCCTTTGAGCTCTCAGCTACTCCTCCAGTGATGACTACCTGCTACCATGCAATCTGCCATGATGGTCATGGACTCTAACCCTCCAGATCTATAGGTCCCAAAACCGAATTGTCTCCTTGAACATAGTGTCACAATAACAGACAAATAACTAAGGCACTCCATTATTGGTGATTTTTTCTTTTGTCTTTTGGTGAAAATTTTAAATATTCCCACATCTATTCCTAGTCGGTTTCAGACTATCCATTGATATCTATTTTTTTGTATAATGATTATTTTCTCTTTCTTTCTTTCTTTCTTTTTTTTGTTTTGCTTTTTCTTTTTCTTTTCTTTCTTTCTTTCTTTCTTTCTTTCTTTCTTTCTTTTTTCTTTTTTTTTTTTTGAGACATGGTTTGTCCATAGTTTTGGAAAATGTCGTGGAACTCCCTCTTTTATACACCGACTTCAATCTCAAAGAGTGCTGCCTGCCTTTGCATCCCAACTGCTGGAATTAAAGGCATGTGCCACCACATTTGTATAATGATTATTTTCTTAAATTTCCCTACTTCTTATAGTTAAAAGAATTAATTTAAATCAATTCTATTTACCCTCCAAATGGGTTATATTCATAAATCTAGCCCACATGTAAAGATTTTTTAAATCTACTCTACTTTATAAAATGTTCATAAATTTTAAAGTCTTCCCCAGTTGCGAAAACATTTTTTTTTTTTATTTTCCTGGTTTACCACTTATTTTCAGAATTTGATTTCCTGGAGGTGCTAACCCTTTCCCCATTTCTTTTATTTCCTTTGTGCAGATAACTTAAAAATTAGTCAAACTTGAATGATTGTTAGATAGGACTCTGTCTAATGGGATGGGGGGAATACATTAACTATGTGCATTAAAACAAAAATCAAGTGAACTTTCTGCCCAAGTAGACCTTCTTGTCTAGAGCGTGGTCAAAAAGAAATTGCATCATAAAGCTACTTTTACTTTATTACCTTTGTGCTACAATGAGGTAATGCTGTTTTACTAACATAACTAATATTAGTAATTCTGGAACAACTATCCATATTCATAAATTTTCTGAAGACATTTTCAGTTTATAACATTTTTGGAAATTCTATTTTTGTTTATGACATTTATTTCATCAAAGATTCCATTCCTTAATATTTATATCTATTCTTGAAAATAACTATGTTACAATAAATCAATCAGTTTTATGTTGATATTTTATA